CCAAACAACATTCATACATGTATTGAATTAAAGCTAGGTATTTATTTATTTATTTATTTATTTTAATATGAGAAAGGGGATTTAAAAAGAAAAGGTTAAATAAAATGACATGTGGCATTGGTGAAGAATAAAATTTACATGTGACAAAATGGACATGATGGTTTATGTTTTTAAATATTAAGTATAGATATAGATATTGGTAAAAATTAAAGTTAAATATTAATAATAAGCGAGACTATTAAAATTGTGACAATTATTCAAAAACGGACGAAACTCGTATTTGGTGGTGGGTAGAGGGAGTACTCGTATATATAAATATAATAGCTGTAAAATGAAAGAATGCAGTCCCTGAAGTGGGGGAGAGGTATGCAGATGGCAGACTGGAAAACTGAAACAGAAGCAGCAAATTAATATAAGTGTATGTGTATGTAAATGGTAATGAAAAAAGAGGGACTTCATTCATAAAGGCTATTTGTATTTCCCTGTTTTGCATCACATGATCTAATGCAGTATCACAATATGGAGATCAATATGGAGAATAACGTGATTCTTTCTAACGTTTTTTTTTTTTTCTTTTTCCAATCAAATCTTCATGTCAATCCTAATTATAATTCTCATTATTTTTTGTCATTTTAGTTTATTTTTAAAAATACTGTGTTGTAGGTGAATTATTGTTTTGTATGGTATGATTGAAAATTCGAGCACTCCTTCACGCCAAAAAATAAAGGGTAAAAAATTGGTTAAATATGGAGCTTGTCTTTTATGTTATGGGGTTTAAATAATTAACATAAACTTAAGAATGCTTACTTCATTGTTTACTTTTAATAATAGGACACACTTTAGTTGACTTTTTTTTTTTAACTAGTAATTCGTATTTTGATCACATTCATTATGTTTAATTAGCAACACCGTTTAATGAGCTTACGTCCGCAATAAATCAACTTAAATACGAAGTATAATAGAAGAACAAAAAATAATGTTATTTAGAGGTTTTATCACTTGAATACTTGACCTATTTTTGCCTTCAAAACATCATCGAACATACATGCGTGGTGGTCTCCATAAGACCCGTTTGGTGAATAAAAAAGGATAATTTGAGCAAATCTCATGAGATTCAATCACCCCATCACTGAAGATTGAAAGTGGTATGGCTCTCGTCTCTCGATGGTTAGTGCATTTAAAATAGTGGTCACCTTTCATGATTTCTTAGACCATTTATCAACATAAAATCCACTAACAAACTTTTAAAACAAGAATATTACCCAAAAATATTATATATTTAAAAAATAGAGGAAAAGTAGAACTAAAATCTGTGAAGTTTTCAGTGAATCGAAAATGCAAATGTGGATCATACGCATGTGTTTCATTGAGTTTCAAACGAATATGATTATCAATCAAATCAAATGTTTTTGACAAAAACTACACATAATTATAAATGTTTAAAATAATAATATTGGTCAATAATATCAGATCTTATGTAATTAGTGCTTTAGACATTAAAAATCCACGAGTTGGCCCACGAGTTGCTTTCATTAAGTCAAGATATTCTATTATAGTCTATAAATTATATGCACCACCCTATCCATTATCTTCTTAATGCAATTGTTATTACTGATCAGTTATGCTCAAGAATTAAAGAAATTATATAAAACGACTTAAATATTTGATATGCTTCGTATATTACTTGTGCATTTGTGCTCCTTTACATTTGATGATGAAGTGTTAACTTAAGAATGTGTCATACTTAACGACTTTTAGGATCAAACAAAATTCTTGTTTAAATTATTAAATTTTCTCCACTTTACAATGATTAGAACTAATTAATTAAACAATCGTAGCTCTCATCACTTTAGGGCTTCCACCTTATCCTCGTCCTCACTCCAAAACATAAACAAATTTTCGACTTTATTGTTGATTTTTTCTTTTACACAACACTAATAATTTATGAACATAAGCGAACTAAGTAATTTTTTTACACCAATCAAACAAGTATTTAACATCACATTTTTACTTGTTACCCAAAGATTAAAGATAGATGAGGCCTTGAGAAGAGGTGATGAAAATGGTAGCTACAAAAAATAAATGCATTTGTCTTGGAAAAATGAAATGACAAACCATAACAAACATGACATGTCTATCACACGCTTTTTACATCATTTCATCCATAATAATAGTAGTAAAGGTAGACTAGACATTTTCAGTTAGCAAATTTGATATCTGTTGCAAATCTGTTGGGTTTAAATTGAGGAAGTCTCCTACAATAATCTTTCTCATTGGCCATAAAAATATAAAGTTGAATGAATAATGAAGGATCATATAAGTATATCAAAAATCATACGCTACACTATTGGATTGGTAATTCCGTTTCTTTTTTTGTTTTGTTTTTTTTCTGATGCTAATAATAATAATGTATGTAACGTGATGATATGATATGTTATTATCATCAAAATATCATATAGTTATATCATAGGGATCATACAATCAAGTAACCATGATTTATAGGTTTCACAGTTTACAAGAAAGATTTTAAAGTAGTACTTTTATTAGGAGATTTTATTTTGTTTCCTCCCTTAGTATTTGTTTAATATCTCAATATTGAATATTGATGACATCTTCCATCATTGTACGCGGATGTCCATTGTCCAAGCTCTTGAATATGTATGTGAATTTGAGCTTCTGTAAGGTGAGCAACCGCATAGAGTTCTCGGATGAAAAGGTCTCAAAATTGATATTTCATTATACGAGATATTTTTTCACGGTATATATAGAGAAAATAATTGGTAATGATTTAATCTTCAATTTTATATAAAATAGATAAATAAATTAAAGGCCCAATATTATATAGTTGCACTGGATCATTGTCATTGCTAGTATTTGTAGTCCCACCTCTACTCTTGAACCAAACTTTTGTTCGCAATTCCAATTATAGCTCTACTCAAGGTTAGTCAATCAGGAATGTATGGAGCACATTAGCTAAGTTTTTACTCGGTATATTTAATAAAAAATGATATATGTAATCACAAATCAATTAAATACTAGAAATATGATTGTAATGAATATTTAACTTTATATCGAATGGTTATTAATTTTTGTAATCAATTTTAATTTCTTAATTACTACGTCGGCAAAATTTATACAGGTAGTTTTTTACTTCCCAAAAAAATGGTGCAACAGTGATGAAATGAATCAAATGATCTTGTGCGATGTGATAGTACCCTTACTAAGGCTCGCTTTTTCCAAACTGAGCTCTCATGAGTCATGACTTGGATGATACGCACACTTTTTCTTTTTCTTTTTTTTTTCTCTGATTTAATCCACAAAAATATCTTACGTTAAAATTTTATGTTGGAATATTTTACAATGAAATTTTGAGGATAATATCTTTTTAAAAATCAAATCTCCTTGTTTTTTCAATTAAAAGTGGAGCCTTTGTGATTGCGTTAAGCTGTCTGAGTCACAAGCAGCATGCATGAATGCATGAATGCATAGGCTTACCCTAGCTCATACTTGTATTACCATATCGAATTACATCCCAAATTTATCATGCTTGATATTTTTATTTTTTTTATGAATATTCCTATTCTTTTGCTCCATTTGACTTTTCATGGTCTCCAAGACGCATCTTATAACGTACATAACTCCATTTTTATAAGCGTAAAAATTATAAAAAATTTAATATTAATAAAATATGCAATGTGACGAATCCAAGAAGACCCTACTTGACTATATTTTCACTTATAGATTAATAGATATTTATGGTCAAAGTTTTAAAAGTTTGACACAATTATTTACAATGGGGCAAAAAAATAAAGAAAGAGGGAGTATATGCTTAATTTACCTTGTGATCAATATAACCATTATTATTTTTGTTGTAAAGAGTGCTAAAAAAACATTCATTTAATACACTACCTAACTAAAATCAATCTACAATCCAGGTATTAGTAAATAATGTCAACCAAAAATCAATACTCATTTTATGAATGATAAGAGTCACCTTTAATTATTAGATAGAGAAAAATAAATTACAATCCGTCATCCAAGCTAGTGTAATGTCCATACTTGTAGTAAGCAATATGAAAGAATCGGAATATAATCTACAAATGTTGATTAAATATTGTAGGAAAAGCGTGTCAAAATACAATACCATACGTGTCTAAGATAGATTTCCATGTACATATAATTAAACAAATATATTTGGTATGTTATATAATGTACTTCAAATTGTGGGCTAATTTATTAATTAATTTATTTATCAAAGTTTGACATGTGAACAATTTATTTGACCAGTTAATTTATTTGGATGGTATAAATTTGGATCTAATGTGAAACAAAATTCTAGTCACATTATTTGGTCTTATAGACCACTAGTATATATTCACATAAAATAAAGCTTTTATGTACTGACATTTTAATTTTTTTTAACCTGTAAGACTACTATTAACAAAAATAAGGCTTGTTTTAATGGGTATGGTATTCCTCACCAAGAGCAGGATTCCTACCACTATACCAATCAACAATTCAACATTATTGATCCTTTTATCTCATTAAAATATAAACTTATGATATGTATAATACATGTTCGGAAATTTCATAAATGAAATTCAGACTGGCTTAAACCCTGTTTTTTTGAGCTTCTGAGCAGAGCAGGTGTCAGTAGAACAAAACACAGTAGGTGTCAGCAGAGCAGAGCAAAAAAGAACAGGGGCTTTAATACATCTCAAATTGAGGCTGACTTAACATATCTCACAAAAAATTATTATGAAGCAGTATTGTCTACGACTCGTGTCACACATACAGTTGAGATATATTCCCTTTAGCTTCAGAACTATATAAGCAACTTCAATACTTGATACTATCATCATATAAATAACACAAAATGGTACTAAACAATGTCATAATCAAATAAATGAAAGTTACATAAAAATAAGATATGAAGGCTATCTTTATCAAAAACATGAATGGTAAGATGCTAACGTTAGGAGGAGGTGGAGTGAGGAGGAAAGAGAAATAATGGTAAATCTGAGAGCTGGACCAGAAAACTGGAGTCCTCAAAACATAGATAGTTGTGGGCCTGTTAACTTTAGTGGGCCTGAAATTGGGTTTTCATCCTCTGAGCATCCGCGTCGATATATTACTAGTCGCTTTCCTTGTTCTTGGCTCACACGTGCCGGTTGCCTTCATGTTTGGACTTCGGGAAATTGGTGGGTCCTCTTTAATTTGTTCGTGTGTGTCACCATGTGTGATCTTATAATTAAGTATAGTGTTTAATGGAGTTGGAGATTTTTTATGTGGTTAATATAGTGAGTGATACTATTGAATATTAAGTTGGAGTATTTAATTTCAATATATATATATACAAGTATTTTTTAATTTTTTTTTTCTAAATGAGTCACATGGGTATTATAAAGGGAGGGGATTAAGATTTATAATTTATTGCAAGTAAACCCTAAATCTATGCCACTAGACTTAAACCTCATCGATTTTCTTTTTAATATTAAAAGAAATAAGTTGGGAGTAAACTTGGTTATTAGTCGCCTCATGCATTTAGGATTGAGACCTTTGATTAATACCTTGGCAGTTAACCAAGCATTTGCTTGGCGGAGTTGGTGGAAAAATTCACCTTTATTGTGACTTTGAGATTATGAGTTTGAGCCATACACCTCTACCAACTACATTTGCTTGGGAGTAGGAGGATTCTCTTACCTCCCATTCTACTTTCAAGTGTTGACCTGCGAAATTGGGCTGATTTAATCTATTAGAGGTGTTAGTTTAATATGGTTCATCTTATCAATTGGTTGTGAGTGTAATGGTAATTAAAGTTGCACTTAATAGAGAAGATTGCGTGTTCGACCCCTCACGACAACAATTTGAAGGATATTGAAACTTATCCACCCGTAATTGAGCCTCGATAGGTTAACTAGGTGAAAAAAAAAAAATAAAAAAAAATCCCCTTTCTTTAAAAAAATTGACCTTGGCGGTTAGATTGAAAATACTATTTCGCGCCACATACTTCACCGATCCCCGACAATTTCATCCTCCAAGCTTCCACGCTACTCGAGGAGAGAGAAATCAGAAGAGAGAAAAGGTGGCGATAGACGATTCTCCGGCACCTTTCGTCGGAAACCCTAATCTTCAACATTGTTCTCCGGCAACGCGCTTCGCAACCTGCCACGTTTGATTTTCTCTCTCATCCTCTGTTCTTCAATGATTATACTAATTAATTCGAGATTGTTGCGTTTTTATTTTGATTTTTCTTCTGCGATTGAATTTAAATTTTCCCGCCCAAATTTATATAAATTGGAATTTTTTTTTGTTCTTCCATTTTTTTTCCTCAGAATTTCAAATTTGTCTCTGAATGATAGCAGATGCTGCGAGATTTTCCGTATTTGAAGCCTCTCTTACTGTCAGTCTTCTTTTCTTCATCTTAATTTTCTATCTCCTCCCCAAAACAATCTATCAATTTCTTCCTGAATTGGGATTTACTTAAACCCTAACCCTAATTTTAATTTTGCAAGGCGACCTTCAATTCGTCATAACAATGTCAAATTCCACCGGAATTGTTCGATTATAGCTACGAAAATGGAGAATGGTACTTCCAAGAAAGTAGAGACCCTATCAGGAGGTGCATTGGTGGTATTAGAAGGGTTAGATCGAAGTGGAAAGAGCTCTCAGTGTAGTGAGCTTCTTTCTCACTTGAAATTTCTTGGGTATCCTGTTGAGTTATGACGGTATCCTGATCGAAACACCGCCTTTGGGGAGATGATTTCGGCTTATCTTTCCAATCAATCTAATTTGGATGATCATACCATTCATCTCTTATTTAGTGCTAATCGATGGGAGAAAAGGTTGTTCCTTTTTTTTTTTTTTTCTTTTCTAATTTTGATTTATAATTTACTTTGGAATTATTTGTTGGGTGTAGCTTTCCAATTGTTTGATGTGTATGTCTAGCATAATTTGATTTCTTTCCATGCTGATTTGGGTTAGGCATGTTCTGATTAGGCTATTATTGTTCATATTATTATTTTGTTTACTTCTCTTTGCAATAACTTTGCTATTATATGCATAAATGGTTTTGATAATATTCTTTTGGGATTGTGGAAATAATGTGAACTATACAATTCTACTAGATATAGTTTCTTTGAATTTACATTTATTAGGCTAAGTCCTAAAGGCGGCATGCCTTGTGTCGACCTCAAAGACTATCCTCACAAATTTTGAATTGGAATTGTTAATGTTACTATGCTATTTTGTATAGATTAATGTTACTATGAACATTTTGTATGGACTAATGTCTCTAAGCTATTTATCACTGGCAGATATTTTATGATTCAATTGGCAGTTCTCTTAGTACATACTAATGTTCAGGTATTCCCTTGGAATATAGGAAACTTTATTATTGAATTATGGGGACTTTAGCTTATACTAGTACATGCTTACTTTTGTTTGTAGATGATGTTTGTTCTGCATGTATGAGGTGTAATAGTATTATGAAAGAACGAATCAATCCCATTTACTGAAATTGGAACAACATATTGAAGAAAGTTTCCTATTCCTTGTATTGAGGCTTTTTGGATGTTGCTATCAAAATTGGTACGAAGAATTGCTTTGTGATTGGATTCATAAGACTATAGGGACAGGATTCCACAACGTTGATTGAATTTCATTGCTGCATGCATCTTGTTCACGGAGTGTTGGCTTGTTTTGCAATCGAAAACCTATCCTAAATTGAGAGTTATGAGTGTTGACTACATGCTTCAATTATTCCAAGTCTTCCAACTCTTACCAATTAGCCAAACCATTCAAGTATGTCTAAATTTACATGCAATGTGATTGTTTTGCTCTTTTCACAGGCACCAGAGATGGGATTGCTGGCTCCTGACATGGTCTTATACCTTGATATATCACCAGAGGTATATATTCAGAAAGCAAGCTTTTGAATTTGGAACTTATTTGCAACAACATGGTTAGTTAGCTAGGCCTGACAGGATTTTTGTCTTTAGATCTGTGAAGAAATTATGAAATGGATGTTAGACATGTATCCCTTTCCATATTGATTTACGGCATGCACCATTTGTTTGGTGAGCATTGAGACACAGGGCTGTCAAATAACATCTTAGTTCTTTCATATAGCTTCCCCGGACTTATGCCAGATACAGCTACAAGTATATTACTCCCCGTCTTATCACACTTCTCAATCACAAGAAGGTGATACAAGTCACAACCAATATAGTACCTGAACAAATATTAAGGCCTTTTTCTTTGTTCTATCTGTAAATACTACCAGTTCCATTCCACCAAATCTTTTAATGTCAGGTCAAAGTGACAAAGTATATCCTAATATAGTGAAATCTATTTTGAATTTGCAGAAAGCTGCTGAAAGAGGTGGCTATGGTGATGAGCGATATGAGCGTCTTGACTTCCAGGGGAAGGTCAGAGAAAAATATAAGACTCTTTATGATGCTTCATGGAAGGTATTTGTTCTTTCATATATTTCGTATGATTTTCTCACTTTGATATTTGTCACTTGATATATTTTGTTTTTTCTTAAACACTTTTTGGCATGCAACATATTACGTTTGTCATTTTGCCGTGGTAAGTATTTTTGACAGTAGTGCTCCGTAAAATTATCTTCAATCACATAATATGAAGGTATCTCTCTGATTTCTAATTGCATAATAATAAAATCTATAAAAAGTTGACTAATATATTGTAGCTAATCCAACAATAAATAACATAATACTCCGTTACATGGAGTATTTATTTTTATGTATTAGTAAAAATAATATCAAGTCAAATATTATACATGTATATCATTATTTTCTGAACTTGAATCTTTTTATTTATATATCTAATCTTGACATGTCTTTCAACTATGGAGTACTCTGTAGTTTCTACGAGTTTGGTTGCTTTGCCATTCTAGCTCTGCCCTTTACATCAAACTCTATATACAGAGTAAATGTCATCAAGATTTTTAAACATTGCAAATGGTAATAGGTTGTTGATGCCTGCTTGCCAATGGAAGAAGTCCAGAAGATGCTCAGAGAATATGTGCTTGAGTGTGTCGCAGAATGCCAAAATGGAAAGGCTCTCTCTCACCTTTGGTTACATTAGCCCTGATTGCTTGCTGGATTTTGTCCAGGTCCTATGCTTTCTGCTTGCGTGTTGGGAGTCGATTAATTTACTCCCTCAACCCCGTAAAGAATGGTCATTGTAAGTTTTTAGGGGTCAAATTTTAAAAACTTTGACCACAATTTTTCACTAATGTATAAGAAAATTACAGTTTGGGATTGTGTTAAATTCATTTCAATATCTATTTTTAGAATATCAAATTTATATATTTTTACATGTATTAGGTGTATTTGTAGTTTAAGAGTATCTTTGGAGATTTTAAAAAGTCAAATGAGACAATCTTTAAAGGGCGGAGGGAATATTATGATTTACTCCGTATCTCTTTAGAATAGTTTTAGTTATACCACCATATTCTAAACTCCAAGTTGAGGCATGTTTTTGCCTTCTCTTAGAGCTCTTTGAGAAGTTTATGTTAAATTGTTAAGTAGATTGCCCAAGTGCTGATGTTCGAGGGCGGATTATAACACTGTTGCACTTGCACTCCATATTTTGTATACAATTCATCCAAATTTATGAGTAAATGATCAGACCAAGTGCGGATGTTTGAGGGCGGATTCTAATACCGTGTTTTACACTGTATACAAGAATCATAAATTCATTCAAATTTTTACTCAACTTACAGATTATTTTAGGACAACTTTCTGGATGTTGATGAAGGGGACAGAGAAAGAGCTCAAATGTGGCAAGCCTTTTTCTAGGTATGGCTTCCCCCTTGGATACAAACATTGAGGTGGACTTGCTCCAAAGATGTTTAGCGGTTTACCCACATTTAGATCAAGTTGTTTAGGCGGCAATTGGGTCATTGGGATTAAATCACCTCAAACGGGTTATTTCCATGTAAACTCATTTGGACCTGGTCGAGTTGCTATGGGTCATCTTCGATTCTTTTGCCAGTATACAGCAAATATTAGAAACATTGATTATTAGGTCAGTTCAGATTAGGTCGAAGGATTTTGAGCCGGGTAATAGGTATGAGTCAGTTTTGCTAGGTTTATTACAAAACCGTTATAAGTTTAGTATATGCCCTATTTAAGATACCTTTGAAAAAACCCAAAATAAGTTCAAAGTAATTCTAATAATGGTTAATGTTTTCCGATAAGATATTTTAATACTTCGTAAGTTAAAGCAAAATACATTATGTGCATGAATCAATTATCAGCAGTTGAGCACTCAGGAAACACAAATTGGGGCAACGGGCGGTTGTCAAGACTTTGCTGCCTCTTATGTAAAATTGTAAACTCCTTGAAGCATGGGGAATTTTACATAATAATCATATCCGCAAATATCCCGTTTATACTCCTATTCATATTTAAGTATGATAATACTATGTATAAAATACATATTATAAAAGATTATCAAAATGCTATTTTGAAATTATTTTATATCAAGAGGAATCAACATGCATGATCTATTTACCACAAAATCATAATATTGAAAGGTTTTTTTCTCCTTGAATTTCAAATGGGACAAACGCTAAATATATAGAGAAAGTAATTAATTAATTAATTGTCAGAAACAACAAATCAAACAAACGTTTGGGTTATGACACTACTTAGATCAAGTGGATGTTCTTAATAATATTCTTTTCTATTGGTAATTATATCATTATGTGGGATGTAAGTTGACTTAGATCTTCACTAATCAACTCACCATCTTCTACGTTTCTTCTATCACCATTAAATAAATAAATAATTAAAATGTACAAGTAGTAAATAAATTAAAAAAATAATAAAATATCAATTCTGTCGTTATTAAGTCGAGGTATTATACTGTTTTGACCGTTAACTCCGGTAGTATTACCATGTCTCATGTATGTGGCACTAATTCACTAGATTCTCTACTAGTTAAGTACTCCGTATCTCTTAGGAGAACTTTTAGGTGGTGTTACATTAATCTATAAGACCTAGAATATAGGCTGGTAGAATGTGCCGCATGTTATAAGGTTAGTTATATTCACTCTTTATACTCCGAAGTAATTATGATGATTTCAAGAAAAAATGTTTAATATATGATCCAATGCGATGTACTACTACAGAGAACAAAAATCACCAAACACAATCGAACTCTCATAAACTACTTGAATTATTTTAGTAGATGGTGAGTTTGATTGTGGTGGGAGCCTGGGAGGCAATGAATTAAGTAGTAGGCAATAGTGCCGATAGTATGACATTGATGTGTGTATATAGTTATGGAACTTGTCGATTTAGTTGTAAAGGAGTTGAATGATTGAATTAATCGAGAAAGAGGCTGAATGATTATATAGTTAAAAAAAAAGAGGTCGAATAATAGAATTAGTCTAGACAGAGGTCGATTGATTGAATTATTGATAAATCGAAAAAGTCAAAAATTATACTCCATAATCTGAATTAGAAACTCTTTATAAGGATTATCAGAGAAAGGCCCTAATCAAGGTCAATGACAGTAGGAGAGATAATCAAGTAAATCAACTTGTGCACAAGTCAAATTCTGTTCCATTTAAAAATCATAATGTAATAAAATTAGCCAACGAACTTTATAAGTTAATCATCTTCTTACATATTATTCTACATGAGACAATATCTCTCTTACACACGAAAAATTTTCAACATTGATTACTTAATTTTCAAGATCAATTCACATATTACTGCCTCAAAACCATTAACTGTCTTTCCAATGGTATAGATATTTAAGATACATTTTCTAAACAATAATACTTAGTATAAAGATTAACTTGTCATGTAATGTATGTTCTCAAGGAAAAATATTAATCTAATTCTACTTATTAAGAGCTAAAACAGTTACCACATGTGCTTTCATGTGAAAAGACTACGCGATTTTAGCTCAAAGGTACCATTTCCTACCAAACCGGTCAACAATAAACGGTCCAAGCCGCAACACACTACCATATTTTACTTGATTGATTCGTATTTGTTTTTGTGTGCAGAAATACAACCAACTTTGGTCAAAACCCGTGAATGAGTGAAGAATCATCGACTAAAACTAAAATTAAATAGAGTAACATAATACGGAGCAAACACCAAGAAGCATATACATTTACGTTAAAAAGTATTACTCCATATGTAAAGTGTTATAAAATGTAATCCATATTATGTAATGTGAATTCGTAGAATGGAAACCTATGAATGAGTGAAGAATCTCAATGTCATTGGTTTTGCCTAAGAATGTGAATTCGTATAATGAAAACCTGTAAAGTGTTATAAAATTAAGGTTGAATTTTGTTTCATCATTGTCATTGTTTTTACAATTCTTACAAACTAGAGAATCGTCAGGCCAGTTATTAGTAACGTGAATTGATAATGTAAAATTTTAACAAAATATAACAAGGGTGACCAAAAATTACTATTATGTTTGAAATTTTAAATTGGCTCCTTGTTTCTAAGCGAGGGGATTTAGGAGGTATTAAGGTACGTATTGATATTGGAGACCACCTCCTAATTTCATGGATTTGATAAACATATTATAGATTCTTTTGAATTATCCTTGCCTCTAGATATTAAGAAGTAATGATACTTACCATTTTACAATTCTCCAAATAACCTTACTCTAAATGAAAGGGGGATAGAAGATTATAAAAAAAAAAAAAAAAAAAAAAAACAAGAATAGTGATAAAGAGATGAATATGTAGCTCTGTTAAATAATACCACTTCTAGTTTATACTGGTATATTTTACAATAATAATAACAGGGAAACTTTTCCCTTAGCTTATTTGAGTTTTGAATCGCCAAGTTATGCTAGAAGAATATAAAATTTGGTACTATAAGATTTTTTTTTTTTTTTTTTTTTTTTTTTTTTTTTGTGTGTGTGATTAATGGATAGAAATTAAAAGGCTTAGTTAATTATGGTAATTTTAAAATATCACTTATTTTAACTTGTAAAACAACTCTAAGATAACATGATTTCCAACCAGAGATTAATACTATGTTAGGAAACAGTAATAATATTATTTTAACGGATATTAACTAGCTTAATTAATTAAAAATCTAGAGATGGTACGTGAAAGAAAATCACGTCTTATTATTTGCCCTTCGTAATTTACTTCTACCAAAAAAGTAGTGTTACTTTTTTTCCCGGCTATTTCACCAAATGCGACTGAGCACTTTAATAATTCACCAAATGCTATCGGATTTTTTCAAAATTCACCAAATGCCACTGACAATCAGTATAATGTCATGTAATGCCATTAATGAGGTCTGGCCGTTAGTTTTCCGTTACTATAATTCTTAATTCACCAAATGCCACTGACTAATTTAAAACTTTCATGAAATGCCATTACTATGTAAATTATTACACAATGTACCTCTAAACTAATGATTTATAACGGCTAGTTAGTTTCACCATTTTTGAATTTTTTTGGGGTAAACTAGCCGTTACACCTAATTTCTATTTGACACTGAGAACACACATAGCAGCCCTTTATTTGCATAATCATGAGTTTGATATCAAACACATCCTCCTCAATACATGAGTATGCATATGTAAGAGTTCCAAACAAATTTTGCAATTGTGGTAGAAAATATGCAATTAGAAGCTTGGAGTCAACATCTAATCCACAAAGGCTTTATTACAAGTATATTCATGTAATAGCTTCAAATGGTGTAAAGTTTATCAGTCGGAAGAAGGTCAAATTAGGGGAAGTTGTTATGAAAGGGATGGGTCAGGACATAGCAATTTGCATGATGAATTGAAGCAATTGAAGAAGAAAGTGAAGCAGCAGCAAAAAGTTCTCAATTCTGTTATGAAATTAGGTGTACAGATGTGTGTAACAGTTGTGATTGTAATGATGAAGTGAACTATTGTAATTGCAATGAAATTAATAACGTGGGAAATTGAACATTCATTTGAGCATAATTGCTTCCTGTTTAAATTGTGTTCGAAAAAATTTTCTTTCTTGTTTACATCAGATGCCCAAAAAATGCAGAGAATATGTTAAAAAAAAACCATACAACACAGCACATAGTTGACTTTTAATGTTCAAAAACTAGATTCCATATACAATTTTGCTGTGCATTCAAAAGGAGAGGGGTTTGGACTTCATGCAACTTTCTTTGCTCTCTTCTTGGTGTTTGAAGTGCTTGCTTCAGTTGCTGCATTCCTTTTCTTTGTTGCACATGTCAAAATGTTGTGGCCCAACTCATTGCATAAGCTGCACTTAACTGCGCTATGCCTCTTCCCTTTCCTTGCGTCATTTGGCCCTCTTCTTCTCTACTTTTTTGGTCTACCTGCAGATCTTTTCACCAGTGGTGGAAGTATGTCAGGGAGGCTGAATGATGGCTGTTGACTTGGGTCA